CTGAAATCATGGGTCTGTCTGTTTCACCCAGCATGTTGAGAGGAGTGGGATTTTCAAGGAATGTCTTTCTTGCAATTGCAGAGTGTGTGGTTTAGTCTAACTTAGGTGGGAATGGAGGTTAACTTTTTTTTTTTTAAGCTGATGTCTCTTTTCAGCTTGCTCAACAGAAATATTTTCTAGTTGAATGAAACAATGCTTATGGCTTGAATATAGTTGGGTTCTTCCAATGGGATGTGACCCAAGGGTTGGGTGGGAAGTTTGAGATGGGGTTTGAATAGGTAGCATTTAATAGATGGTATGGTTTGAGTTTGAAATATTACCCAGACATGTGGTTTGACCACTTGGTCACCATTTGATGGTGTTATTTGAGAGGTTGTTGAAACTTTCACAAGTGCTACCTGGCTAGAGGAAATAGGAATACGTATCTTGGGCTATTTCAGTGCCCTCCTGAAAGATCTCTCTGCTTCCTGTTCCACATGATGCAAGCAGTTCTCTTGTCACAAGATTCCACTGCCATGACATAAAAATACTAGGGAGAATTATGGAAAGCCATTTCTAATGTATTTAATTTTATTGTGAATAAGACAGTCATTTCAGATTAAGACTGTACACCTTTCAGTAGAGCATGGGACCCCAAGAGGGGAAATCAAGTCTTTGTTTTAAATTCCCAGTGCTTAGTTCAGCCTAAAGATTAGGTAAGAATCTCAGCAAATATTTTGGGATGCACAGGCGACCAGAGAAGGCTGTGTGCAGGGCTTTCCTTACCCTTTGCTTCCAGGTAGCTTCAGAAATAAAATGTGAGCCATGCACAGTGGTGCACGCCTTTAATCCTAGCACTCAGGAGGTGGAGGGAAACGTATCTCTGTGAGATAGAGGGCAGCCTGGTCTACATAGTGAGTTCCAGGTAAGCTGGGGCTAGAGGGAGACCCTGTTTCCTCAAACCCCCAAAGAATAAAACACAAATAAAATCTGCCCTTAATTCTGAGATCTGCAGTAACTTTCAGAAACACAGGGCACGACAATTCCTGCTGGCCAGTGGCAAGCACACTGAGGGAGTGCTATTGGTCTAGCTGGAGCCATGGTGTCCAGATGGCCAAGGTTTTCAAAGAGAACACTAGCCAAGAGGGCTGATGGATGAGGCACAGAGGTGGGCTGGCAGCCCCATAACGGTTGTTGAGAATCAGATACATACCTCGCCGTTGGGTTTGCCCAGGATGGTTGTGCAGTCTGGACTCCACCGGAATCTGCTCTGCTCTTCCCAAACAAAGTCTGTTGGTGGCTGTGGCTTCACATCTGAGGCTGTAGCCCACACCTTTGAAAAAGCAATTGCTGTTGGCAAACACCACTGGGGGTCAACATGGGTTTATAAATGTCATAACGTTTATTGCGATTCATCTTTCCGAACAGATGGGGGTTCAGTGCCATTAAAGAGGGTCGGGGAGGGTCTCGCTGTATTTACCTGAGCTGGGCTTGAATTCTTGGGTTCATGTGATCCTTCTGCCTTTGCCTCCTGAGTACCTGGCACTATAAAGGTATGTGTGCTCCTAAGCCTGGCTTCAGATGACCTTTTAAACTATACTGTAATATCAAAAGGACTGAACATGGTTTAAACAGCTGTCCAACCTAGTCTGTGGGCTACAGGTGATTGAGAATAGCTTTGGTTACAGCCAACTCCAAATCATAACCTACTTAAAACATGATAGTTTTTAAAAACTTTATTACATTGTTCTTGAATGTGAACTTTGTAGATGATAAAGTCTTGTCTCAACATTACCCAAAATAAATCTATGTTTGGGGCTGGAGAGATGCCACAGTGGTTAAGAGCACTGGCTACTCTTGCAGAGGACCTGGGTTCAGTTCCCAGCACCCACAAGGCAACTAAGAGCTGTCTGGAGCTTCCGTTCCAGGGGATCTGACACCCTCTTCTGGCCTCTGCAGGCATTGCAAGATGGGTGCACTCACACACATGTGGGCAATATACTCATACACATAAAACAGAAATAAAATCAAAAAATAAATGCATGTTTGCTCGCTCAACCTCTAGCCATGGATTGGACACAGCTGGTTGAAAGGGGAACACAAGAGAGCGGAGCATCTACTTGGTACCTGTTTTTTGAGCAAAACAATCCTTTGTGTTTTAAGAATGCCAACATCTCAGTGTTAGTAGCAAAAACAATGAGTCTTTCTGCAAGGAACAATCTATTCTAAAATGAAATGGAGATCTTTTTTAAGGGTTAAAAACTCATCCAATTTTATGTCTTGCAGGGCTTATACTGAGTTCAGTAATATATAACTATATTAATTCAACTGTGAACATAGAAACTTACAGCCACTTGTGAAAGAGACATCTCTTGCT